TAGTCCATCTAGAGAGTGGGATTGAGGGGAAGAAATCCACGTCTGCATCTACCTTAAGGCGGCTCCTAAACCCATCATGGAAACCCGCATGGTCACTCTACCCACACGGCTAACACATCTATTCATTACAAATCAACCATCACCAGAAAAACCGTGGTGGCTTTCCACCTCCACTTCATTCTTGCCTAGCTAGGGAGGAAAAGGAACGCTTCCACTGCACAATATTAATGGAGCCTTTTGTCTCCTGCCCTTATGACTGGGGGATGGTGAGAAAGGGGGTGGAAATCCTGGGGTGCTGAAAGTGTGGGGTGTGCTCTGCCAGGCCTTCTGTTCGTTGGGTGGGAGGAGAGGGGGTCCACTCCACACAGGAAGAAACTTTCTCAAGATGTGTATGTATCAAGCTGTGACAGCCTGCTCCATTGTTGATGTATAATATAGGTACATCCTTCTGTACAGCTGCAGAGGAAGTCACACGAGTCAGGGCAGGTGGAAGAACACAGATATAGGAAAAGAAAAAGATGGGAGACAGAAGGCCCTCCCAGAGAGTCACTGAGAGGCATTATGAGAGGGTCGGAAAGGAAGTATGGAGGCAAGAGCTCAGCCTCTGCTTCTGTGTCAGCGTAGGCCTCCTCAGGGCCAAGGATGAGGCATGGACTCTGGAAAGAAACCAGTGGGCCTGAGCTTCAGGCCCCAGCACAGAAAAGCCATGCAGTTCTCTAGATGGCATCAAAGGCTACAGACTCTGGTCCCTCCAGGAAAATGTATTAAGGTAGGCTGCCTGATGGGAGACTTCTGGCCTGTGTGATTCATTTCCTAGAAAGGACAAGTACAAAAACAACAGAATGTGACACTACCCTCCAAAGATACAAAACACGACCTGCATGTGAGAGTAAACCTCTGGAGGGTTTTTGTCTGTTGGTTTGTTCTGGGTATTACTGAGCATTGTTTGAGAATATTTTCGCTTCTGATTTTTGAAAAACACGAATGATCTAAGTTGTAATAGAAGATTTTTCCTGGGAATTGATGTCAACTTTGAGGGAAGTGCTGAGGCTGAAGCCACTGTTGCATGGCTTGCTGAGTGCAGCGTTGGCTTCTGAGTCAGAACACTGAAGGCGGAACACTTGCATTATGTGTAAGAGGCGTAGGAGGTAACAGAACAGGCCTGGGTGTGGGGAACAGGCAGGGATTGTGCAGCTGCCCATCTGGGTCTGCCTGGGGGAGGCGTGTGGGTGGCAGGACACAGTGTGAGCCTGGTGTCCCATCCCACCCTGCCACACTGTCCTGCCCCCCACTGACTTGGAATCCTTGCCCTGGAAGACTTGCCCTGGGCTGAGTCCACACTGCCCTGCAAAACCTCTCATGGGAGAAAAGAGGATGGACGCCCCTCTTCCTCTACCACACAGGCCACCTGGCTGGATGTGGGCTCTCATTCTGAACATGCAAATATTCCATCATCCAAAAAAATTCAAAGTGAAAGCACTCTGGATCCCAAGCATTTCAGATAAGGGATGTTCAACCTGACACAGATTTGGGGACTGGAATGGCCTGTATTTCCCAACCTCCAGCCTGCCTGCAATGTCCAGACTAAAAATGGGAGAGAAAGAAAGTCATTGATTGGTCTCAAAAAGTACATTCCTGATGTCTTTCCTAGCTAGAAGGAAGAAGGCCTGAAAGCTAAGTCAAAATGTGAGTTCAGTTATGAAGGACTGAGTGCAGAAACGAAGCATTTACATAATTTGCATTAGTCCTCAAACTTAGAGTTCTTCATGATTAAAGAAAACAATGAAGCTTTTTTTTAATAACAATAAGAACAGTAAAAAAAATCACTCATGTGTAAACATATGATTTTCTCATCTACAGAACTAAAGTAAATCATGTCACTTTATTCTGGAAGCAAATTCTCTAACCTTTTCTTTTTCTTTATTTATTTATATTTGGTACAGGGTCTCAATACACAGATCAGACTTGCAGCGATCCTCCAGTTTTCAGCCTCCCAAGCACTGGGATTACAGGCGCCTGCCACCACACCCAGTCTCAATGGCTGTCTCAGCTAGCCCCAGGGGTGGAGCCTGCAGAGCACGCTGGGGATCCCACTCCAGTCCCTGCATCTGCCTAAGCAGGGGCTTTAATCCACTGAGCTATCTGGCCAGCCCTCAAACTTTTTCTTTTTATAAGATGAGAAAACTAAGAAATTGTTTCAATATTTGTAGGTGTAGGAGGGCAAATTAGAAATCACACTGAAAGCAGACATAAAACATATTCCAGACTTAGTCTTTGTGACACAAATACTATCTTCAGACTGTTTTACAAAGCCGGGGCCCAGACATTATGAGCAGCGGGACACAATGCCAAAGAGCCCCATGGGACCCCGGAGAATTTCCAGTAAGCATTTTATGAATAGCTGCGAAGTTATTTATAGCTTCGACAGATAAAGGAAGCAGCAAAGAACCATTTTAACTGACCTTTTCTCCAACCAGGGGAGGTAGACCGAGGTTTCACATTTCAGGGTGGTGAAAGCATGGCCAAACACATACTGGGGGAATCTCTTCAGCTCAGCCTCAGTCATCTCTCGAAATCCCAGAACCACGTCAGCCCAGAATGGCACTTGTTCTGTAGGAATACTCCGAAATATCTGCCAACTCAAACACAGGAGTGAAATTTTTCCTGAAATTTTGTGAAATAATGTACTTGTATTAAGCCCCATTTGGCATTCTCTAAGGCATTTGAAAATTTGCCTCTTTGAAACACAAAGAGAAAAAGGATCTGCTCCTCCATTCTCTGGGCTTTAGATAACTTAAAAGGCCAGATTTCAGATGTTTATGATCAGAGGAATAAGGTATTTTCAAGTAACATGCCACTTGTCAGTTATCTCAGAATGTGCTAGGTCCTGGGTTCAATCTCTGACCTGCAAACACATACATACATACATACATACATGCATACATACATACATGCCAATAACATGGCTTTCTTAGGGATGTACGTTTTTAAGGAAAGGTTTTTCTGTTTTACAGTGGTTTATATATATTGTAAGCCAAACATCAGCGGTTGACCTCAATTTGGAACAAGATATCTAAAGGGGAATAATCTACCTTCCTGCTTGGACATACAGCATGCAGGAAGCAGGGCTACAAATCATGGATTATGTCTCAGGTCATCAAGTTTCACTGTAGTACTAGAAAAGAACGCCAGGGTTATATAGAGTAGCCCTGTTGGGTCACAGTTTTGGGGAGTAGATGAGCCTGGAATGATGGTGGTTGTTAAACAGAGCATATAACAATGTGACTGACAGATGTTACACATATGCTTGGATTTATACATATTGGGTTGCTTCTATCAGTAAATCCAACCATCACTGCTCTAAAATAGCAAGAATCATAATTTGAGTGCTAATGGTGTTGTCACCAAGGTATCTTGATGCATATCTCTAAGTAATTCATTCAAAACAGTCCCCAGGAATATACAGATCATGTCACTGTGCAGTTGCTGATTCTCACCTTGGTCCTCTTCCCAGCATTTCATTCTGCACACTCACTGCCACCTCCCATAGGCCAGACGTGCAGAAGGCTGCACATCCAGTTCTGTCTGTCTCTCTTCTCTCCTCTCCTTCTCTCCCTGTCCCCGTGTTACTCAACTCAGAAGATGGTCCTTATGCACTCACATGCTAATGCTAAATACTGGAGAATCACCCTTGATTCCACACCCCTCCACCATCAGGTATCAAATCCTATCAGATCTCCTCTTCAGCATTTCTCAAGCCCACCTCCTGTCAGTCCCTACTGTCAGCACCTAACCTTCCACCATCTCTCTTCTCACACATCTACCCTCTACACTACAGATAAAATCAGCTACTTCACTGTGTAAAATCCTCAAGTGGCTTCCCGTTTCTGAACTTTCTTTAGTGCCTCTCACACAAGGCAGTGGACTTAAGACTCAGATCTATGTTTGTGCTGCTCCTTCTACCTGGAATGCTTCCCTCAGCCTCCCAGCATGTCTCTGTCCCTTCCCCCTTAATAATATCTCAACAACATCTTACATTCATCCTGAGGATTTCCTTTTTTCTTTTTTTGCCAGCTCAGCCTGCCCTGGGCGGTGCTGGCTTGGCATGTGGTGCTGAGGATCACACCACAGTCCCCTGAGCCTGCATAAAATTGCCTAAGCAGGTGCTTTAGACAGCTGAGCTATCTCACTGGCCCCCTAAGGATTTCCTTTCTTTCTTTCTTTCTTTCTTTCTTTCTTTCTTTCTTTCTTTCTTCTTCCTTCTTTCCTTCCTTCCTTCTTTCTTTTTATTTGGCATAGGGTCTCACTACGCAGCCAGGACTTGTAGTGATCCTCCTGTTTTCAGCCTCCCCAGCACTGGGATTACAGGTGTGTGTCACCACACCTGGACTCAGTGGTCAGCTCAGCACACCTGGGGAGGCACAGCCAGCACAGAATGTGGGACTGGGAATCAAACCCTGGTCCCTGCACTTGTCAAAGCAAGCACTTAGTCTGCTGAGCTATCTTGGTAGCCCTCCCCTGAGGATTTCTGATAAAGCATGTTTTTCTGTGTAGAGTCTCATAACTTTCAAGAGCAAGTCTCTTGTGCAGACATCTGAGTTCATAGTTGTACTGTTGCCTTTGGCTACTCAAGTTCCATCCACTCTCTACATATCACCATAACCTGCATGAGAGAAGCACTGAGTACATTTTCCTCAAAAAGTCACTTAATACACATTTATTAAACATCTACTAAACACTGAGTAGTATTACCAAACTGATCATTGTTATATCCCTTATATCTAGGAGAATAACTGGTACTGACGAATTCTGAATAAATGGCTTCAACAGAATGAATAGATGGATCAGGTTATCTACTTACACCAAAGATGCATAACACATTTGTAAAGTTTTAATCTTGAACAGACATATGAATATTGTACATGAATGTTTCCAAAAATTATGTAGAACCAATGTTTTGGATTATAGTGGTTCTTATGGATTTTGGACAAAAATAAAGTATGACCATAACTCAAAAAGAACTATTTCTAGTCTGGGCATGGTGGTACATGCCTGTAACCCCAGCTCTTGAGAAGCTGTAAACAAGCAGATCATTATGAGTTTGATCTTTTAGTAAGACCCTGAACACCCTGTAGACCCTTTCCTAAAATACGAGGAAGAAGAAGAGGAAGAAGAAGAAGAAGAAGAAGAAGAAGAAGAAGAAGAAGAAGAAGAAGAAGAAGA